CGCACACGCACACGCACACGCACACGCACACGCACCAATTACCTTGTAAAGATTTGATGATTTCTGTAGCTTCGTGAGAAAGATAGAATTTCCATTTCGATGGACTACGAACAGCTCCAAATAAACGTTTATTTTAATAAATTTTCGTTAGTTTTAATGCAGACGTTATCACTGACCGACACAGATTAGATTATTATTTAGTTAATTCTTTTTTTTCCATAACGTGTCACTTCAACATTTCACACTCGATTCACATATTTGATTCACATACGAACAATTCACTGGAAGAAATCACGAGAAATCTACTAATGCATCTATTCGTTATGTACTTTACAATCACTGTCGATTAATTAATTATCCGTCCATTCAAACATCACACGAAAAAACACACAGCGATTTATTAATATACGACGATAGCAAGCAATTTACTAACCCACGATGATTTACTGACACACGAAACGTTCACCCGACGATAGCAAGTAGTTGACTGATTTTATTGATTATGTTTGTAGCTCTGTCGAATCGCGACATGTGAACGTCTCGTATGTCAATAAATCGTTGTGGGTTAGTAAATTGTTGCATGTCATTCTTCGAGTGATTTTTCAGTCGACGAATAATTAATAGATACGGGATTGATAATCATTAACTAATAAATTTGGTATTAAAGTCAGCCGACTTGGTTGTTATCATCGAGTGCACGCGTCGTGTGTTTCTTTTTTCGAGTGATTTTTTAGTCGACAAATAATTAATCGATACAAATAATTAATCGACACTGATAATTATTAATTAATAAATTCGGTATTAAAGTCAGTCGACTGCTTGCTTTTCTCGAATGAACCGCGCGGGTCGTATATTAAATTAATAAATTGCCGTATTTCTTCGTGTGATGTTTCAGTGGACGGATAAATTAATCGACAGTGATTGTAAAATACGTAACGGATAGATGCATTAGTAGATTTCTCGTGATTTCTTCCAGTGAATTGTTCGTATGTGAATCGAAAATGTGAATCGAGTGTG